CCATGCCGGAACCGTAATAACGTCCACCTCGACTCCATCCGTTCACGCCGAGCATCCATGCCGAAACCGTAAAAACATCCACCCCGACCCCATCCGTTCACGCAAAGCATCCATGCCCGAACCGCAAGAACGTCCACCCCGACCCCATCCGTTCACGCAGAGCATCCATGCCGGAACCGTAATAGCTAATAACGTCCACCCCGACCCCATCTGTTCACGCAAAGCATCCATGTCGGAACCATAATAACGTCCAACCCGACCCCATCCGTTCACGCAGAGCATCCACGCGATCTGTCGCACTACTGCGATGTGAAGCATGATGCAAAATGGCTGCTTTGACACAGCGACGCGTGGAAGGCGCAGCGAATTCGGAAAAAGATGCAACTGTTGCATGGCATCGGGGTGTGGTGCAAACCACGAATCACTCGTCAGGGACGGCGTTTTCAGCATTCCTTCTTGAATTGGCGCGTGCGACCAGTACGTCTGGCACGAAATCGTTGTTTAATCTAAAAGAAGAATAGATAAACTCATGGAGAGCACTTTTGAATGTCAGACAATGGCTAGCGAATAACGCTTGCACGCAATATGGGTACTCTGCGATGTTTTAAATCCTTTGGCTAAGTTTCTCCTAAGCATGAAAAATCTTCCCACTTACTATAGGCTGTCCTCAACAGAATTTCGGAGAAAGCTTGGCATACACCTCCAAGCCCCTGTGGGCAACTCCAAGCGGGAAGTCAACGACTCAACGACTGGGGGTGTGGGCACAAATGAGCAACAGAACCCAAACCCCCCCCCCCTCCGCCCAGTAACAACGCACAACCAAAACAACGCCAAAAACAAAACCATTCAGGAGACTAGTCTCCCAGGTTATGTTGAATTTGGTCTTTTTGTGATTTGTGTTCTTGTTTTTCGTAGGTTGAGTGTTTTCAGTTCTTGTGGTTCTTGTTTGTTGTTGTTTTTGAGATGGTTGGGTGTGAATTTGTAGGCTGTTACCAACCAGTTAACTATGAACAACCCTCCAAAAAATGCGCTTTTTCAAACGAATTCCACACGGTCGAAAACAGGAACGGGAACTCGGGGGCCAACAGAGCTCCCCTATCTTGGGGAAGCCATGGATACTTTAAACGGCTCAAGCTGGACCGCTCTCCCCACTGGACCAGTCGCCAGTCCGCAGAAAAGTAATCTTCAGTCTCAGGGATGCTGGCAACCCTGGTATCCTCTGCTCATACTTGTCAAGGCCGGTTTCGCTGACTGCTTCGGTACTGCTCGTCTTCGTTACACAGCTCCGATTTCGATAGATCTCCACCACACAATATTGCGATCAGAGTCCGAGCCGCGCGCATAAACGGCTGACTATGGCTGACTACACTGTGTTTACTCGCCAACCGAAAGTGAAACGCATGACGGCACAGCCGGTCAACAAAGTGTGCTCGCCTGGAAGAACAGCCTGCGTGGACCGCTCTGCCTGCAACCAGGCTCTTTACTAGTACTGTTGACTACAGTAAGGCGAACAGACTACAGTAAGGCGAACAGACCACGATTTCGAACAGCTGCCCATGCAATGCCAGCAGGAAAATGTTTTACCGCAAAGCTTGTGTGAGCAATGCAAGAAGCCCTCGTGCGTTTTCCAGCGCAGGTGACAGAGAAACGCCATGAGTTAGCGACCGGCTGAAGCATACATCGCGAGACCACGGTCCCACTCACGTTCTCCAAGCCCGCTTGGGGTCCTGCCCATTGCAGGGTTCATGCTGCACACCTTCGCTTCGAAATCAGTCTCTGCGTTCTGTGTCCTGACGGTCACCACCCCTCTGCCGTTCGTTTCGCGGCAGGCCTGTGCGACCATGCCGCAGTGATCGCCCCTGGCAGCTCTCAAGTCATGTTTGCGAGCCATAGGACATGCAAAGAACAAGCTCGAAGCTGTGGTGAGGCACCAAAGACAATCATCGAAGAAAAGCCTTGGTGTGTTGCAGGAAGCTTGCAAGATGCAAGCAGTTGTATCATAACATGCCAGAACAATCAGCCAGGCAGCATTCTGTCGTACGACACACCCGTGGCCTCCTGCTGCCGTTCCGACATGTTCCATCTTGCAACACGTGCCGTCTCTGCGAGCCGCCAGGACCAGCAGGATCCGTTTAGAGTCTAGAAGTATACGCTGCGCTTAAATCCGAAATATCCGAACAAGACATTGACCGCCTGGCAGTCGCAAGCTCTCCCACACCAATACGAATGCAGGGTTCCAGCAACTCGACATTGTTTCTGCAAACCACCGCCGAGAATTGGGCCGGGCTGGGCTGGGTGGGGTCCCAGAACGGCTGGGAATGCTGTGATTCGCGCATGTTCTTCTTGCTTGAATCTGTTACTTGTGCTAGACATACCAAGTACTTGCCTGAAGCTCCTGGGATCTTTTTGGGGGCTGGGCGGGCTTTTGGCGCTGAAATTGAGGTTGGGCTGTCTGGGTCGGGTGCTTTCAGGAAGCATCCTCTAAGTCTCGAGGCTGCGAAGGCCACATGGCTTGCTTTTCGTCCACTTTCCGACATGTTGCTGTCTCAGGACTTTCAACACCTTAGGTTTCACAACCTTCACTACGCGAGTCAGCAGACACATTTCTCACACCTGTGCACAGTCTTCCAGGTCTTGATCTCACACTGGCCCCTGAGCCCTCGGCCTTCAATCGCGGAAAGTGTGTCCTCGCCTTGTTCGAGGAGAGGGGAGGCTGGCGGCCTCGGACTCCACGAAGCTCAACCGTAGAAACGTCCTCCTGTTGGCACGGCTTCCAACTGACTCAGACTGGCTCCAGTGCTCCCTGCGAAGAACAAACGGTACTGACACTGCCAAAGGGCCGATCTGGTTGACGTCCTTCCCCTCCCAATCTCGCAAGAGGAGCTGCCAGACTGTTAGGCCAGGCAACACCTCAGGAAAGACATTCCAACGCCACGAACCACCACAAGGCCGTGCCAGTGCCTCCAGAAGCGAAAGTGCCTGAACCAACACTTGTAAACAGCTCGTAGAACCGAGCAGGCTTCTGTCTAGCACTGCAAGCTCCACAACACTGACGGGGCCTTGCGACCAACCTTCTCAGCAAAGGGGGTGTCTGCGCTGCTGGCCACAGCTATCTTCATGCCTGGATACTTACCTCGGAGGCTGCTTCATCTCACACACCAAGGCGTTGTACCCGGTTGTCAATTGGCTTGAATACTCGGATAGTAGGGCCAGCCACCATCCGCATGGTCTTGCAAAGCTTTCATTGCTCCTTTTCGGGATCGAAGCGAAGCACAGAAATGAACGTGCGAGATGCCATTCTCGGGGACGTTGGTGGACAGACATGCGGTGTCCTTTGTGCAACGAAATTTTATCTGCACCGCTCATGACCTGAGAGGACATCTAGATTTGGTTCAGGGATACACTTCGCAGATGCAGTGGCTACAACGACCATCTACTCTGACTTCGCCCAAAGGCCCCCAGCGCCAGTGACGCCTTCACCGCGTCCACGCAGGTCGCCAAGGACAACATCACTGTCCTTTGGTATCGCCTCCATCTCGTACATCTCCTGTGAGGGGCGGTGAGGGATTTCTTGCTGTCTGCCGCCATGTGTCCGCAGACACTCGGTCACACATATGTTGATCACATTCCGCCGTACCACTACCGCGTCTATTCTTTGGACCCTTGTTTAAGGCTTGTCCGAAAAGGCATCTCACCGTAAATAGCATGTCTGCCTCAGTCTTCGTTGATTGATTTGGTTTCTGTTTTTCACCCCGCTCTCTCAGGATTCTGCCGCTGCATGACGAACCCGCTGCACAGTCTCTGTTGACGTGACGGTCAGTAAAAGCGACTGTATTTCAGTGGCAACCTCTTTTTACACATGATCGGATTGCCTGTGATTGTGTAGAAGCACCTTGTCCATTCCGATATGACTTGGAGTTGTGGGTCTCCCTGTCTCAACCCCTCGACAATTGAACGACTGAGGACTAAACACGACCCGGCGACCTGTTACAAGTGGCAGGCTGGCTTCAGGAGAAACCCTGGTGTAAGCCTGGAATTACACTTCCCAAGCGGCAATGTCCTTGTCCCATAAACAGGCATCCAGGTCAAAGACGCATAGTTCTGGATATGGGCCTTGACCTGCTCGCCTTGTCAGAGCCGGCATGGAATGCAGCAAGGAAGACATCTACTGCGCGTCGGCTCCTGAAGACCGGCCGAATCGCTGGTTGCCATCGTAAGCCCGTAAACGCCAAACCTCAAGCACTGCACGAACACACACTTCCAAACAACTGCACACGGTGACCAAAGGACCACACGGTGCCAGAGCAGGCCTAGGAGTACGAAAGCCAGCCAATGGCGTCTCACCATGGCATGTGTTGAGGTCGGAGTGAGAAGCCTTGCTGATTTGCTTCGAGATCCGGAAGAGCTTGCATGCATCTGTCAATTCGGCTTGAGCAAGAACTCTGCGCCAAAAGGAGGGGGGGGCAGAGAGCTTCCGACGCGATCACCCTGTCGCCGCTCTGTCACCGCTTTACAGCCGGGTCTGGCCTTGGTGCCAGGTTGCAGGAAGTCCAGACTCCTGCCAGACCTCAGCACAACCCCCCAGGCAACCCGAGCTCCGAAGACAAGCCATACAGATGGACGAAACCATCATCGCGTCTCAATATGTTCTGCAAACTGGACACTCCAAGCTCAGTGAATAATGAAATGCTGAGCTGTACACTGACATGTTGAATCTCCATGTCCGTCGAAAGGCTCTGCGCTCGGACGATCGGTTGCGTTTGTTCGAGCTGCAGCGATAATCATGCTGGGACTGCTGTGTTGCTACGCCGTCAGAAATTGGCCCTTTACATTGAGTGTCGGACACCATCAGCAAAGCCACCTCAGAATTTCAGAAACAAAGAGATTTGTTCTCGTCTCACATCCAGTTCAGCCTTTACTTTCCGTCGCAATGTAAGGCAGTAGCCGCAGCGCAGAAGCCGCAAAATCTCATGGGGCCAAGCGCCCTCTGCCTCGCAGGCCTTGCAGGCCTTGTGGCCTACACGAGATGCTGAGTAATGACGGACCAGGTGAGATGCCACGAGGAGCGCCCCACTAGGCGGTCTTGAACCTGGCCTTCATCGCGGCCATTGCGCTGAGCTCTGGCTATGAGATTTTTGCGATTCGCTTGTTTGGAGCCGAGCGACACACATACATGTGTCGGTTGAAACGCAACACGATGCTGCCTGCTGTCACGAGCACCCATTCGAAGCACAAGTGTTGCGCTGCCGGGCCAGGGGCACTTGACATATGAGCGCATGTTCATAGCTCAATGCCTGGGCATCGCTACGCAGCCGAGACATCTTGCATGCTTGGAAAATCTGCCCTCTGCAGATGTTAAACGTATAACCTGCAGAAGTGCAGAAGCCAAGCCAGTCCAAGGTTCTTCAGATTGCCACCGTCGCAAACAACTTTCGTGCACGAAACCTCAGACTGTAGTGGCTGTGAAGGATTCCGACATGCCGAATGCCCAAACTGATGCATCAAGCAGCATGCAACGTGGCTGGCTCGCTGCAACGATACGTCTACCATCTGTTGCCACACATGCGATTCTTTGTGGAACAAACCAACACTAAGAAGAGGGCGACTTGTGCCTTCGCATTTGCACGGAATTATGAAATCCTGAAACGGAGCATGTGGTGATGGATCTGACATGGCAAACACTAAACTCCACGTGGTGGATATGATGACCAAGCCTCAGCCGATCCTTCCTCCAAACAAAAGCGGCACTGGGGGGTTTCGAGAGCTTCGTGCTGCGGCGTTCCGGGCAAAACCTGCAGCAAACGGCTGTTGTGTTTGGCGCCATCGGTCTCAACACATTCATGGGCAAATGAGTAGAATCGGTACACTATGCTGAAACAGGCCTTGTCCATGCTGCTGGCGAGCTGGACTGCATCAGTAGGTGCCGCGGTGTCGTCCATCGCAAACACAACACGTCCAATGTTGCACAAAGGTAGCATCCAAAATGGAAACAGCCACAGTAACATCAGGTATCGATGTAGACTATGATACATGTGCATAATGACCGAATCAACACTGCTACTACATGATGCATTTGTGACTATTTGCGGACATCGATGCAAAACGCTATGGTGAGCACAGCATTAAAATCGACTCGTTGCACGCTGTTCTGCAGGGTTGCACATGCATCGTCAAGCATGTCACCACGGACTGAATCCTGGTATTCGTGGACTAACTGTGACTCAGAATATTCGAAATGCAATAGCTCCAGGTTCCATGTCACACTCAGCGGATCTTGAAACAAAACTAGGTGTTAACACGCGCAAAAAAGACTTCCAACCACAAAACACACCTGACCACGAACATGTGTGCAATCACACACGTGGCACAAAGCCATGTGCATCCACGAGAGCTGTCCCAAAAGCAGGGGCTACTGAGACACGCAGCTTGACGGCAGTTTTTAATCTCTGTCTTTGGCGTGTTTTCCATGTAATTTCTGCCATAAACTCGAAAAGACACCGCTTCTGGACAACTTTCCAATCTCATGGCCCAAAAAGGTGAAATCTTTTTTGTGGATTTTTGTTATCGGTTGCAACAGTGAAGAACTTCCGTCGGAGACGGCCAAACTAAAAACCGACTGTCACCTTGTTCCCTTTTCAACACCGCTCTTTTTTATACCTATAAATGGAATATATTTGGTTCGTCAAATATATGTCCATATGCGTTCACAAAATCAACATATTATGCAGATGCAATGCTCTCGGGACTCGCACTCCTCCTTTTCTGATGAAGCTTTGGGGTTGTTCACGGAAGTTCACGGAGTTGAATCCTGCTTGTTTTCGGATGCATGGACCAGCGATCGATATACTGCATGGGGGCAGACAAAAACCAAGTCGTGGTGCGACACACACGTGCATGCAACCGCCACGCCTGGCATCCTCGTGCATGCTATTGCAACACAGGGAAGGAGACGTCTGTCGTTTCCACACTTTGATAAAGACGATGTTTGTAGCGACCCCGGCCCGGCGGTTCACAGGAACTAGCAAAAGATAGTCGGCCGCGACACCTCCGGTGGTAAACTTGATGTTCGAGCACGCAACAAGGCACAGTGGTCTGTTGCCTGTCAGCACCGACTGCTTTCAGAAGTTAAGTATCTAGGGATAGTAATTACGCATGCCTCAGAGAGCGGGGTCCATGGATGAGGGTCTTCCATCTCTCCCGATGCTGGCAATATCGCTGTACCATTCGATACAAACGACTGCTGTCCATCCGTACTATGGAAGAGGTTCCGTGGGCGGTCTGCATGTGTGACAGCAGAGGTATGGCGAAGAACGCATTATGTATGTCCGAATGTGAAGGAGGAACATTCGATGCAACAAAATCAACAGGGTTAGCCGAACCAGCGACTGGTCAGCTTGTTGATTTCATGTTAATCATAGACACAATGAGAAGATGCGAAGGACAAGTGTTTCAGCAGCCCCCGCAAGGCATCGCCCAAGAATGCCTCGGCACCACATGGAACGTGACATGCAATCTTGAACCGACACAGAGAAAATAGAGCGAATGCAATGCATGAAGTCATTTTATCTTCATCGTCGTGTTGCCGCCTTCATATGTCTGCGCCGCCACCTATTCCACTGTCACTCCACGACACCGGAGACAGATGACTATAATGACCTGTGAGATACATGTTTTCTTCCCGAAAGCTTTGCGAAGGGTTCTNNCTCGAGAAATACATGGGATAACTTACATAGGATCAGATACACAGCGTTATACATCTAGACTTTCTTAACTTGACTTTCTTAACTTAACTTTCTTAACTTGGCTTAATTACTTAACGTAACTTACTTAAACTTAACTTACTTAACTTAACTCAAGTTACTTAACTTAATTTACTTAACTTAACTTCAGTTACTTAACTTAATTTACTTAACTTAACTTAAGTTACTTAACTTAACTTATTTAAACTTAACTTACTTAACTTAACTTAACTAACTTACTTAACTAACTTACTTAACTTAACTTAACTT